AAAGAAACAAACAAAAACAAAAAAAAATACCCCTCCTTAATCAAATGCCGTTTATTCGGGGATATGTGTGTACTGTATGTTGCAAGAAGTCTCAACCTTGAGCTGCTGTTTCAATATATAGGGCCAACTATAGGGCCACTACCAAACACTGGTGAGACCCATTCATAGAACGGACCAACCGTATGAAACCCACTGATTGGCCATATCGCAGCCCAGAATCTTTGAAGAGATCTCGCCGATCCATGGCGACTCCTCCGGCAGCCACCTGCAACCGCGTCTTCACCTCATGCACCGTGACGTGTGTGGAGCGTGCGCAATAGGGTCCGGGTGCGGCCGGCCGCAACCGAGGGCGTCACCGGTGCCTCACCGATCAACCAAGGGACACGGACCCCGACGTGACCGACGTGGGCATGCCCACCGTTTCAGTGGCGTCGGAAGGGTTTGAGGTTCCAGATGGTTCCTGGCAAAGTCACCAGGAAACTCGTCGAAACCTCCCACTATTGGGACCGGCAATCCTGTACAACGCACAGAGGGTTCATATCCAAACCTTACATATCCAAACCCTATCATGTCAATCTCAGAGGACATGTGGGTCTCTCACACCCAACCACCCGAGGACACGCGCAACCTCTGTGGCACGTGGCCGTGTCAAAGGGGTGAAGAATCGCCTGCTTCGCCACATTTTGGGCGATGCCCTGCACCGCGCCACCTACAGCACTGTCGAAACACTCCGGAGGGTCTCAGAGCTCATGAGTCACTGCTGATAGAATTCGACAAGCTAGCGCGGTTGAAGGAAATGCCCCCACTCGAGGTTGAGATACTATTTGGTAGGCCAACCGGGTGTTTGTAGCCCTGTTGATGTGTTTTCACGAAAGGGTACATTGCCAGTTCATTGACGACAACGGAGCACTGTTCGATCACCTGAGATCATGGCTGAATGCTGCTGCCCACGGCGGAAGAGTTTCTGCAGCTCCTGGCGCGGAAAATCTAAAAAAGATATTGATCATTGAATGAATTATATCCGGGACATCGGCGTGAGCACACTTCCTGTCACGGTTTTGACCATACAGTATTTGTGTGCATACCTCATGGCCTGATTTGAAGAAAACCATTTGTTCAGGTAAACAACAGTGTATGTGTATGTGCGTATCTAATGTATCTATATATATATACACACACACTTGTTTACTGGCTGCCAACGTCGACCGGCCCAAAAGCAAGGAATCAGGCAATTCTTGCAGTGATGCTTATGCGGGGATGACTTGCGATTGAAAGCAGGAAGGCACGGACATGCTGCACCTGGGTTGTGAATGTGTTGCAGGAAGTGCATGATGACCCCCTTGAGAAAAAAATAGAGTGAACGTCTTCGGATCATATACGCAAAATACCCTAGCCCCACCTTAGCTTGCTCGGCATAGAATTTGTTGCATGGGTGGTTCTTGCTCTGGACTGAAATTTGGAGGAACAATACTTTGGCACTGACGGTTACAATATGTTACCATGATTCATATTGAGTCGTGCGCTGACTTCCATCCCCGTGATTATTTGCAATCACACAAAAAATATATAAAAGGTCATTCGTAGATATTCGTAGAGTAGAGATCAATATATGCCCGTGAGTCAAACCCGTCCTTCAAAATGCGCACCGAGTGACTGTAAGAGATCAGTGGCATGGCGTGCTCGTCCGCATACATAATACATGAAATGCAAACATCGAATGAAAAATCAAGTATCACTCATCGCTGGGATCGATGTTCAAAGGTTCAAACAAAGAAAACAAACAAAAACAGGACTTTGGAGACCTTTTGGGGGGTCCCCAACCATGTCTTCACAGCGTTTTGTATTTCCTTTCAAAGAAGCGGCCATCGGGACTGCCATGACAGTTCGCGGGATGGAGGATGGAGAATGAGAAGAACTGCCACGCGGGCGGGAGTTTGTAGATGGCACAACTTGCAACAAAGGTCAATGGCACTGTTCTGCGCTCGAGCTTCACCTAGAGACCACAACTCGCGCCTGGGGCGGCTGCTTTGGCCGCAAGGCATGGTGGCGCTGTGGCAGAGGTCAGGACGGCCGAGAGCAAGAAGCCTCAGACAGGTCTGGAGTCTGGGGATCCCGAAAATTCCGAAAGTAAAAGGCATCAGCTTGTTTGAGAATGATCGCCGCACTGCACCCAAATGATACTTGTGTGTCTTGCAATGTGTTAGGGTCATTGGACGGATGCTGTTGCAAAAAGATCCAAAATCACATTCACAACATAACCATCTTGCCATTCATAATATAGTGAGCCAGAGTGATCCAGAAACCAGAGTGAACATATTGCAAGTGCAAAGGATTCAGCTCGTGGACCCACCGAAGCTATCCCCTGCGTTCGTCTGCATCCAATGCGGATCAGGACAAAAGAGCACTGCCCAAATGTAACAACCAAGTGAGCCTACCCAAAACAATTCTAACGCTTTTCCAGTTGATAGTTGAGTGTACACAATGGCATGAGTTTCCAGTTGTTCTTGCATGGTCTCTTCTTGGTCGGCTGCCTATTTCAAATGAAGACAAACGTGTAGGTGAGGTACGATGATCCAAGTCCTTTCTCAACATTCTGGTGCGGCAACGAAAACGAACCGAAACTGAACTACCCCGAGGTGTTGATCTAGTCGTCTTGTGATGCTCTTGTTGCCAAGACTCCATGTTAGGGCTAGAGACCTTTTAAAGTCATATGAGCCGCATGACTCACATGGGCAAAATGAAACGAAGGGACACAATTTGCTGGTCAAGAGTTCTCAATGGACTTATATAATTAAACATAAATCAACAAATGACCGAAGTAATGCTTTGATATGCATTGAAATGTTTTTCTAGTATTTCTGGGACACCATTTTCACTTTAATAGCAGTGTCAAACGCTGGATGTACTGTCCCACGCTGGGGAATTTTCTGAATATCACTCTCAAGAAGGTAAGCCGTTCGTAGAAACGTTCATTTGAGCAGCTCCTTGGTTCGTCCGAGCACCCCGGCGCCGTCGGTCCAAAGGGACCTGGCCGAAAATAATGGCATGCAGTTGAATGAAATGCTACGAGAATCAGAAGGGGAAGATGCAATAAAAACTATCAATTTGGGCACCGGATATGTAACACATTGCAAAAACCATCAAAAACCTACCCTGCCGCGATTCCAAAACTTGAGTTCAAATATGTTCGAATGGCAGTTGGTGGAGGCCTTCGGACTGTGATCTTAGTGGACCTATTGCTCATCTTACATGATTGGTTCTCATCTCCCAAGCGACTGTCAATCGGAGCAGGAGACTTGGATGATCCCACCGATTGGTTCAGACTCTATTTTAAAAAAATGAGTGAACATCGACGTCAAGATTCAGTGTTCCAACATGACAAGTTGCCAACACGGTCCGAACTTGTGCAACCTCAGGACCCCAAGAGATCATCGACAAGTCCCAGCGAGTGGGGAGCCTCCCAGCTACATGGCCCAACCAGTCTCGCGGAGTGGGGGCCCTGCATGGCGTCTTGGTACCAGAATTGTTCTTGAGCCCCGGGTCATTGTTCTTGAGCTATCCAAAAGACCTTTCCATCCCTTCTGTATATGTGAATTGAATGTGTCTGTATATGCTTCTGCCTGTTAGCTGCCTTTGGTCAACAGACTGACCCTCGGCAGTTTTCCAAGGTTTAAAGCCTGCAAATCAGCGAAACAACAGTGAAACATATTGGCGCCTTGGACAAGAAGCTCCTCACATCTCCTCGGAAAAGGAAAAGAAGAATTGCCAGCCTGGGCAGTGAGGAAGAATTGGCATCCTTTCCTTCCCATTGGGAACCACACTCCACACCGGCCCAACCAGAACGCAACTTGTCCAAAGTTCCAAGACACAATGGCCTACAAAACCCACAAAAAAATCAAGGCATCACCCAACTGTTCAAAAAGTGCAAAGTCGACAGGTGAAGGTGAAGGAAAAGATCTGTGGACGTTTCTCGTGTTTTATCAGGTCAGTCTACAGGAAACGATTCCACCATCAAGACTATGGGTAGGTCGGAGGTGCGCCTGTCTTGCAGGTTGCCCCGTGGCCGATGGCCAGCTACGTACCGCTGCAAATAAAGACACTGCTCTTAAGTCTTACGGTAAAAGTTGTTAAAACATATATATATATATATATATTATATAAACAATTACAGTATCAACATTTGCCCTTTTGCAGCCCAAGAAGTTTTGGCTCAAGCGTTCTGGGTGTTTTTTGAAGCTTTCGTGTCTCTGGCAAATACGAACAGCATTTTGACCAATTTTGACCCTATGATGGGCCACCCCAACACCCCAACTCCACCACCTGGGAGCCGGACCCCAACAGCGAGCAGGTCCCATGTCTACCTTCCAATTCCGAGCAACGCCGAACACGTGGCTGGCAGTGGATGGCCCTTCCGAAATGGACATGGTTTATCGTGAAGAGACGGGCCCAACCAATGGACCCGAGTCGAATCATGTCAATGCCTTGTTGTTTTGCAAAGGTCTGGCTGAGAGATCTCCAATGACAACTCCAACATGGACAACTATGGACCCTCAAATTGTATTTGACAAACCATGCTGTCTTTCTGCGGCTCACTCGCCACCATGATTGCACCTCACTTCTACGGGGCTCAGTAGCCACCTGCCATCATTCATCAATAGTCAATAGTCATCCTATGTCATCCTAATCGTCGCTCACAGCCGACGCGCGAACCGACAGCTGTGAGCCCAAGAGTTCCAAGGCACCGCGCTTTCTTTTGCACCGAGCTCACACTGTACAGCGACAGCGAGCCCGCACAAATTGAAACGATGGAATCGCGAGTGAATCTGCACGTGTCACTCTGAATCGCAATCTCAGAAACCTATGGAATCGTAGTCTATAACTCTCCAAGACTCGTGACTCGGGGGCCGCAAACGTGCCAATCTCCGAGTTGTTCCAGTATTTACCAGCTCAAACAAACTCTCCCACCATGACCTCCTGTGGGCTTGGCTTTAGGTTCAGTATGCGCAAACGATCACATGGACTCCCATGCCACTCGTTCATCCCTTGCGGCCCTCTTCCAACCTTGTTGAGCTCATTTGAGGGGGGGTTGTTTGTGAGTCTCTTACAACGCAGTCTGCTTCAGACCAACGAACACGCGTTCGTCGGAGCAGACTGCGTCGCGGCGTGCCATCTAGGCAATCTAGGCCTTGTAGCCTCCTTTGAGGCTCGCGTCAATGCCCGTAAGCTCCGGGACCACCACCTTTCCAATGAAAAGCAGGGAGCCATCTGCGTCGCCTCTAAAAGGGCCCGGAGCGGGTTTGTTGTTCCAAAGAAGCCAAAGAAGTGGATCAAGAAGTCAAGGACTGGGGAGTGGGGAGCGTGTCGCCGGTTTGATGTGTTGCTTGAAAGCAGCCGTGAAGTGCATGAAGTGCCTAAAGCAAAACTTTTAAACACCTACTCTTGCAAAAGTTGCTGTCAAAGCTTCTGATCACGAAGAGGAAGGGTCTGTCCACCGTCACCTGAAAGGAAGAGTTCCGTCCGATCAGTTCTGCGGGCTGCACGTGACGGTGTGTTGGGCGATGTTGGGCAGAATAGGATAGAATAGCTGCGTGTTCACACGGTTTGCATCATATGCCCAACCAAGGTGTAGGAGGAGTTGGTCTTACACATTCTCTTTGACTAGAAGGTGATAAAGGTACCTGGCAGAACAATGATCACTCTATGCAGGCAATGCCAATTCAACCTATTGAACGCCAATCAACACTCGCAACCTCAGCTGTGCCTCAGTACATCCCAGAACACATTAGAACAAACTCAAATTTAAATAACATGGCTATGTAATATATGCTAATAATATGCTTATATCACAACGGAGTATCATAGAATCTTCTATAAATGATCATAGATTCAGGGTCTCATCTCTCACGACCATTTGGATCACCGGTGCCAAACGATACCATCTTCGCCCCAAAAGGGCCACGTCCGGACACCTTCATTGCCGGTGGCGGCAGGCAGCGCGTGGCCATCACAGCACCGGTGGCAGCGGCCGCCACGGTGCCCTCCTCGTTGACCAAAACGGTGGCCTTGTGCACCACATCATTCCTGGCGTCCGTTTCGCCTTCCGAGGCAAAGCCAGACCCATGTCATCAACATTCAAACAACATGTAATTCATGTAGACTCTTGATTAATAAGCCCCCCATATGAAGAGGATGTCCAATTCAAACGAGGGCACATGGGGCACTAATTTGTGTTACCTTGTTTGGGAATTCTGCACAAAGTTGGTTTGGCCCGAACCGTTATCCCCAGCGAACCCGGGCGACCCTGGCATTTCATGGACCGAGTTGAGCATTTCCTTCATGTTGTGGGCTAATAGATTCCTGCCGGTCCGCCTCAAAGAGGGGAAAAAGCCAATCACATTGCCATATTCAGACCCTAAGATTAGGATCTCTTGCCCCTCAAGGCAAGATCGCTCCGGGTACTTGCTGAAAACTTCAGACCACCTCCACCAACACCCGTCCTAACATAGGACAAGGGTATGTGTGAATGCGTACAAGCCCGCAAGTGAGTGCATTCAATCGAGGGGGGGTTATTAAATCAAGAGTCTACAATACTGAGTATTGCTAATTGCTGAGTACTTGACTTGTGTTTCTGTGCCTTTGGTATTTGGTTTCACAGCCTCGCCGTTGTTCGAAGCGTCCACTCAATGGAACCAAATCAATCCGGATCAAAAGAGTTTGGCCGCAAAAAACGCCCTTCAAGTCGTGTGATCCACCGTCTCCACGGTGCATGGCGCAAATCGTCAAATCGAAAAAGAGTCGAAGTCGATTGAAGCAGGCCAGGGCGTCAAGTAAACCAATGGATCCTGGGCGCTCCCGGTGGTGCGGAACCAAACTGATCCGAATGCGGATCAATGGACCGGATTAAGTGGTGCGGGGAACCTCCAGGTGCTATCAACCACCCATGTGGTCAGACTGCAGCGGCTGTGAATTTGTGGGGAATGTGTCTTGTATTTCCTAGATTCTATCACACATATGCCATAACATCAACTCCACAAAAGAAGTTGGGTGGGGGATGGGGCTGGGGCCAACAGCAAACATTTCTCCAACGCAGTGAAGATTTCTAACAGCTAGAAAGAAGAACTGTGCTGAAATACAATTTTTAACATTTAAATGCTTGTTCATGTATTGTAATCGGAGCAGAATGCGTTGGATCCTGGATGGTTTATACAATAATACACACTTCATGCTTTTTGGTGGTCTTGGAGCACCGGCGAGTGCATTTTGGAAGTACCTCACAGTCTACCTCCTACCAAGCCCAAGCGCTTGTTGAAAGCAACAAGAAACACTATTACTTCAGCAATCAGCAAATGTATTCATCTCCGCCAAACAAGTTGCCCATGCAAAAGTGTCAGGGCTGACTTTCCGAGGGATTAACTGATTAACCATGAAAAAAAATGGCTTTCCAAAACTACCAGCAAGCAAAGCGCCAAGAGACATCAGACATTCTCAGGAATCCGTTCTTGCTCTCGAACGCTTCCTTGATACCTTAGTGATGTGTTGAAAAGAATTGATTGGAACTACACTCACTTCACCACAAATATTGTGATAATTTCTCAGAATCCGCCAGCAAAAGTCATGAACAAATGAAATCCGGATAAATCCGGTGGTAGTCTTTGACAACTCGCGGCCGCAGGTGATCCAAAGAAATTTGGAAGCCGGTGATCCAAACAGCTGAAGCAATCCGCTGAGACATCAAGTCTACTAGTAAGGAGATCATCAAAGCCAAAGCCATAGAGTGAGATGTTGTAAGGAGGATGTCTGCAGTGTAGGACAGTAGAGTCCCTCAAAACCCAAAATACATAACATAGTCATATCAAATCATATCAACGACGATCCAAGGACAAATGACAACTCCTTTCTTGGATTCCCTAACTAGGCGTTCAACTCGATCCTCGACCTGTTGCCATTTGATCCCTTCTTTCATAGACCAAGTTGCCCAGGGCCTTCAAGGCATCTGACATGGAGCCTCCAGCGCTGACCTAAGCACAGGGGGTTTGGTTGTGGATCATCCTGATACAGCCTGATGCTCAAATAGAACTTTCTCCAAGTGGGGAGACCTGCCAAAATCACTGCCACAAATTTTGAGAACCTCACCTTCTTGTAAGTTTCTCGGGGAATGTTTGCTGGTTTCTTGGCTGGTGATATAAATGATGTTGATTCCTTCCTGCCTCTGGAGGGTCTTTGTATTTGACCAACAGCACACCCAACAAAAAATATCAAAAAGTGCCATATGAGGAACATATCAATGAGTATAGAGTCCAATGGCACTCAATATGGCACTCTTTATTTGTCAATGAGTGCGGAACATAGAGGAACCGAATGCCAAATCAATGAGTTGTCAATCGTTCTTCTCCTCTCTGCAAGGATTCTGTGGGTGCTTTCCAGCTACCCCAGGGACGTGGGTGCAACGACTGTCTCGGTGTCCGAGCACGTCTACTCGGGTGTGTGACGGGCAGTGATGGGCACATGTTGTGAGGGTCTTCCCATCGAACCGAAAGAACCTCCAGCAGGGCTGGAAGATGCTGCAAGCAACCCGCTTTGGACCTCAAGACTCTTACTCGGCAAATCTACATGGATTATGTAATTCAACCTGAGGTGTGCACTTTAAAAAAAAGTGGGGGCCCGTTAGACCCCAACCGGATCTGGACTGCAAAGATCTAAAGCTTACACACCCTCCCATCGATATACCCAGGCCTTGAAGCGGGGTAGCCGGAGCTCCACCTCGCTCGGCTCCATGAAGCCCAAGAGCCTCGGCGGGCTTAAGCTTGCCGCGTTTGGAGCCTCGCCCGCGACGACCAGTGACGACTCTCGGAGACGACGAACGAAACGAACGAAACGGCGGAGGTTTAGTAGCTTATGGTTTCTACTAGCTTCTTGTTACTACTAGTAAGGCACCTGTTACTAGA